TTTCGAACAAAATGAGTTCTATTGGTAATTTTAATTTTTTAAGAACTAAAGAAGAAGATGAAGCAAGAATCCATTTTCCAAAAGTAAATACGTTAGATACTACCATCAAAAAGCTGATAGCGAGTAAATAAAGCCCCAAAATAGGAGGAAAATAAGCTTCAAATCCAATACATTGTTGGTACTTACGAAAACACTTTAAAGAAAGAGGCAATTGCTTTTGAACAATTAACAATTTGAGAATATGCAGTTTAATGCAAAAAAATARAATTTTTAAGTTTATTTCCTGCACTATCCTAATGACATTTGGTCGTTGAAGATTTTTGAAAATCCGGAAGTTATTAAGATACAGGGTGAAARACAAAAAAARWTTAWTGTTTTTTKAACAAAAATTACATGKACAATTTGAAACTCGAACAGAATTGAAATATTGTTATTAAGGATTTCTTCACTTWATGTTCCATAAACGACCTTTAGATCACTATATATACAAATWAATTAAAAATCATCCAGTTACATTGCCTAATAATGAAAGAAAAAATGWAAGCTTATTATTATACAAAATTTATAGTATACGGAATGACCTGCAWAACAGGCAACCTAGCAAATRATATAATGAATAAAATAATTTACAGAAAATKAGTAGCTTTAAACCRCGGATTCGAATATAGAGGCTGAATGTGAAAAGTTTTGTAATTCAAAAGGTATGTGCGATCAGACTTATTTAAAGTTCATGTAAATGTTGCATGGAAACGCATAATCTAAAATGCTCATTTCAAATATTAGAATGACCAGAAAGCTTAGTTATGAACGCTTTAAATATTTCAATAATTTGCATAATACCTAATTAGAGTACGAGTCTCTTTAGTAAATTAAGACTGGAATTACGAAAATATTTTGAATTAGAATGAGCCTAATTTAACAATTACTTCCCTTCGTTTAATTCGTACTATTAACGTTTATGCCACCACTTATTGTTTAAAAATTAGGATTATTTCCACTAATTGCAAAGTTTTGCGAATTGGCGGCACGTTCTAATAATGTATCGCGTTCGAATCACCTCACATAAGTTCAGCACAATACGCGAACATTTAAAGCATATGTGAGCTAAGTGAATTAATGTTTGCAATAATACGATTTGGTGTAATTTAAAGCACTAATACAGAATATTTTCCTTCTTTGACACTCGCTAATAGATCAGCAAACTTTGTCAAACTCTATGAAATCTCACTTCCATACAAGCCTGCCGTTAGAAGTAGTCGAAGCTCTTATCAGTTCGATATGACGTCGTTATGCAGTCGTTCCCAATGTTCCCGAGGGAACCGACGTTAAAACAATATGCCACTGTTTCACAAGCGTAAAATATTACGATAGCTTGCTCTTGTGTGCTTTTAACTCGGCATTTTATCTAAATTGATTTTTATAATTAAATTTCACTGGCAGTAGTCAGGAGTATGCAGTAAATAATGCCTAACTCTGTTCAGGCTATTTCGTTTCCATTTAAATTCGCTTTGTATCCGGTATCGACGGCGTCGAGTTCAAATTCATTAATTTACAATTTATTGCGTTTTCAATGTATTTTTTTTACACAATAGTGCCAATATTTTATGTGGGTGTATTTTATGAGATGAGCTTGTGAGTGTTCAGGTGAGCTTCGCATATTTGCCCAAGTTGAATACGGATCACGAAGACAATTTGAGATGGAAATTGGCGGAAAGTTACCCCATCATTTTATTCCACTCAAGAATATTCAAGGGGTGAGCAGCGTATTACTGGTGTAATCGACTTTAATAAAAAGGTTTACGATGAGGTGCGCGGGAAAAAATGTTGTATATTCTTCATATCCTCTGAGAATTGCAAGTTAAAAAGCTCATTATCCACGATCAAAAGTAATTCAATTTTATAATAATTATTCTTGCCATCAAACGTTTCTTAATATTGTTCTAAAATTCTTCAACAGGCAGCTTGAAATGGTCTGGATTATTGCTGCCAACTAAGTAGTTTTATTAGTTTTAGCTCTATGAAGCTCTAACTATTACTCATCATTAACCAGCTATTAATTTGAGAACGATTAGCTTAATGGTATTTTTCGGCATTCTATACCATAGTCGGACTCATTAGCAAAATTATTTTCGTGTCAGGTTTACAATAATTGATAATATCCGAATTTCAAGTAAACACCAGCAAACGTTAATTATTATTAATGAGTAGTTACATAAAGCCTATTAAGGATACGAGATTAACAATATCCGATAAACCTCGTTAAGTTTACTGTGGCTTTTCACGCAATTATGGTCGATCTTGTAAGCGAGCAACTTTCTTTACAGGATATCCAGATAACTAGCTCTAACTTATTCGCATAAATAGTCACTGGCGTTTTATTGTTATTATGGCAAATTAAAGAATGTGCTTATTATTTTAATGGAGGCAATTAGTTTGTGTGATATATGTCTTTCGGTCTCCAATCAGCTCATTTCGAAATTTTAGATACTTAAGTTTTGAGCGTCGGGTATTCGTTCATTTAATTATATTTTTAATAAACATTTTTTTGGATAATAATGGTATTTAAAATAGGCGTTTTGGACGTTTTGGTCAATTTTATTTGATTTGTATTATATATGAAGGAAAACACTCCGCCGAAATTAAATGTTGTAATTTTTTTATTACTTTTGAGTATTCGTTAATTACCTGTATATTTTACGAATATATTAACGAGCACATTATCACAGCAAGAGTAAAATCTGCAGGAGGAAATGTAATATTGATTGTCTTTTACGCACCAGAAGAAGGGAATGCTGGCGAATCCAATACTTTTGGGCTTTTACAAACAACTACATACAGTCTTTAATGCATAAATACCATAAAACTCACCAAGTAATATCGATGGAAGACTTTAACGCCCGGTTAGGCAATCAATCTATCCCACATGTAATTGGATGTTATGGTGAAGACACATGGAATGGAAACGGAAAATTACTTATAAAAAGTAACAAATACTTTCTTCAGAAAGAAAGATATACATAAATACACTTGGTCGGCAAGTGGGCAAAGATCGATTATAAATTACATAACTACAAATAAAAAACTATCTGGACAAGTACGAAGTGAAGGACACAAGAGTATATAGAGGGCCAGACAGAGGATCAGATCATTTCCTAGTAATATCAACAATAGAGACGTACAAAAAGTGGAAACAAATACGAAAACCAGCAAGACTAAACGAAGAGCTCTTCAAAGTATATCTACTTGAAGAAGAAAGTATAAGACAAATATACCAGAATAGAGTAAACAAAATATTGAACGCACAGAAACAAAGGAAGATATGAAAGCGGAATGGCAAAGCATAAAGCAAGAAGTGGAAACAACGGCATGCGAACTCTTGGGTAAAAAAAGACAAATCAGAAAAAGGAAGGGATTGAGAATATGGTGACATGAATTCGAAGATGCAGTGAGAGAAAAACAAAAAACATACATTATCTTAACAACCCCAATGCAGCTAACTATGAAATTTACAAACAAAACAGAAATGTCGTAAAGGAAATGACTAGAAAAACCAATGAAGAGTCTTGGGACATATTTATAAGTAACATCGAACATGACATACATGATAATGGTAAAGCAATGAAATAATTAAACAACCAATAAAATGATAGAGTACAGATAAACAACATAGACGAAGAATACTGGGTGAATCATTATACACAGCTGTGGTAGCAACAGCTGCATAATGCATACTTACTGAGTTATATGCGATCGTTTCTGAAGAAAAACGCGATTTTCGCATATTTTTTCCACTTTTTCGTTGTTTATGCAAATAGCACACCTTTTGAAGCTGGCGCACCTCGATATTTTCCCCCGAGCGATTCCAATAGATATCTAAGTTACGTCACGTTAGAGCATGCCAATCTGTAACCCTCCTGGACTATATGTTTTATTTAAAACTTAAATCCGTCGTTCTTATTGGTACACCCTTTACATCGAGCATGAACTAAGCGAAAAGAGAAGTGTTGGAAGGAGTCGCACCTCATGGCTGAAAAATCTGAAGGAGTGGTTTGGCTGCAACCACAGTCATTAAAATTAAAATAGCTCTGACGATAGTGAACCGCCGATAGGAGAAGCACAACAACAACAACAACACCAACAACAACTGGTAATCTAATGCTATCTAATGAAAAAATGCAGTGTTTAGACACTTTATATAGTTGGAACAGATAAATAACCCATCGAGTTCTTTCTTAACATTTGTAACTATAATTCTCCATCTTAGTTTACAAGTGGCATAACATTTCCTCAATATTTATTTGACTCAGCTGGCGAGCAAAATTTTCAGAATATTTAATTCGGAAACTCCGTTTGCATGCCATTCGTCTTTCTATATTCGTTTATTACCATAAAACCCAGAAATGAATTATGCTGGCGAGCTTAGGACGGATGTTTGGCATGAATGCGAATGCAAATAAACTTGGTTCGAGTTGAAAGCGCGGTCCTGCAATGTGCGATATTTATTCTGTTTCTTGTGTTGTGTTTTGTGTGATGTGCGCCCGCAATCCTATCTCTTGGGATTCCGTTTCGAGTAATGTATGTGCTATTCATCACGAGAAAGTAAATATAGTCAAAGGTTTTTAATTAAATGAATCGCGATGGCGAGCGCGAACGTGTTTTATTTATCCTTTTGGGTTAACTGGAGTGTTCGGATGGAACAAAATGGTATGAGCTTTTCCTCTTTGCGATAACGCTGAAAGCTTCCCGTTATTCTTATTCAAACATAAAAAGCGCAAGTTTTTCCTTGAATGGGAAAAAGTGTTCAGTCGTTAATTAAAATGTATAAACGTATATGCATAAATGTATGTCAAATACAAAAATCTGTAGTAGAGTAAGAGATGTGCTCAAATTGATATTCTCTAGGTCTTAGCGGCCAACCAAAAAGTATTTTGGTAAACTTAACAATCAGTAAATTCCCATAATCGTTTATTTTTACTGTAGCAATTTTCTTTTCATTTAAGGTTGGTTCAGCTAATGGAATAGCACTTCAACTGTATGGTCCCCACATCCAGCCACGCCACTGCGTTATCACGAATGCTGAAGGAGTTACCTCACTCACTCCTTGTCATGCTGATGCTCACACCTACGTCAATGGACAGAGAATCCATCAAACTACGATACTGACCAATGGTAGCTTAGTGAAATTTGGAAATAGCAACACGTACAGGTAAGTTTATTTTATATGTTGAAAATATATTTTTGATTGACATGGAGGAATAATTTGCCAAGATTGAATTTTGAGTTGAGGCAAATTCTTCAATTTTTTTATCAATCGTCTTTTAAAAGCGGTTTGTTGAAAGACACTTTGAGCTACTTAGAATGTACAGCATATTAACCTGTCCTCCAATTTTAAAACAGAATTAGCATCCAAAAATAGAACTGAAGAGTTTCTTACATTCCAATTTTAACTAGACGACTATAAATTAAATCAGGCTCCATCCCAGCATTTAATGATCGTATTATGTGACATGTATACAAGTGCTGTATATTTATCCGAATAAATTGATTGTTTTTATTGATTGATGGACAAACGTCTTGCTGCATCTAACAATAATACACAGGGTGCTTTATAAATATTTGAACAGCGTTTATTCATGCTCTACTTTTCGCATAAAAATACGAAAAAACTTTTTTTATAAATTTGTCACGCCGAATGTTGAAATATATTAACCGCGTTTTGCTAAATATATTGATTTTCGTATCAATTGAAAACCCGAAAGTCTTATTATAAACAGACCATGTGTGATGGTAAATTTTCATAAATATTAAAGACGATTTATAGAGGAATTCAATAAGTATTATAAGCTGGTAGGGGAGAGTGGGGTAAAAGTAAACTATTTTGACAAATACATTTTTGTTTCAAATTTATCATCATCAACATACAAATTTTTTAGCGTAATAATTGATAAAGTTACTTCGCATTGTAATGAGTTGAAATAAAAGAAACAAAAATTCAATTTTGAAAAATAAATATTTAAAAGAAGTGGTTAATGTTTACATTTACCCAACCACTTCGGGGTAATTGGAAGCATCTAATAATTCAACCATATATGTATTATAAAATAAAAGTAACTAGGTAAATGTAAACATTTTATATTTTGTTTAATGCCTGTACATTTACCCCAAAAGAATGAAAAACAACTCGTTTTGTTTTGATTTAGCTTTTTTATTCAAACATAAAACTGAAACTTAAAAACTACTTAGAAACTCGTGCATTAAAGCATTAAGAAAATAATAAAACTAAAAACAAAACTCTACCTTAAATAATAACATAAAAACATTAATTTTCGAACACTGGAACTACTTTTTCAAAGCTGTAATAAATTATTTCTCCTTTCACCTTAATTGTGGGAAATACAACCCCGAGTAGCTGGTTTTCTACCACAGAATTTACATAATTTGCCAAAACCGCAACGAAGTTGTCATTTGTATTATCTATAGATTTTAGTCCTACTACTTACTTTATTTAAACTAAAATATGTGCATGTTTACAATTACTCAACTTGACCCTACGCAAAAAAAGCAAATCTAAATTAATATTTTTATACGACTTTTAAAAAAGGGATCCAAAGAGACTTTAATGCAATGCTCTATTTTTTTTTTCAATTTGTACAAACAAGGGAAGTTTTGCTTCCTCGTTTTTGAGGAGGATGCGTTTGAGTTATGGTCAGCCATAGCCGTTTCGTAAAACTATAGAAATGTATTATTGTAGTGTATAATAAAGTGCGGCGCAATTCAGGTATTAAAATTAAAAAAAATGTACTAATTGTGCTAACTTTGTGCTAAACTCAATGGCAAAAACAAAAATTATATCTGTATTTTTTTGCAAATATATTAAAAACGAGAAAGTGCTTATAAATAATTTAAATAGTATGGGTAATCCCCACTGAGGAACAATTTTAATATCATCTTCAACAACCAAATCTATGATGCAATTTGAACTGTATTAAGGCGTTCTGAACTGTGTTTAGCTAATAATAAACAACAGTTTTAATAAATGATGTGAATAGTTTAGTTGCGTATTAACATTCTTATGTTAAGAAATTATATATCTAAAGAAATAAATTTTAAAAAGTAAGATAAATTTCAGAATTTGCCGCACATTTTATAAAGATTTCAAACCGGAAAAAAATATGTTTATCTAGGCCATACGGCATCTATGATTTCCATTTAAAAAACATAATTTTGCGTTATAACTCAAAAATTGATGATTACTTTTATTTTTATTATATTTAGAACATATTTCTACTAAAAAACCTGTCTATAAAGTGTGCAAATAATGTAATTGTAATAAATAATCAACTTTACAGCTATCATGTAAAGAAAATGGACAGGATCGAGGTTTACCTTTCGAATACAAAAGATGATAACCAAAAAATTGAGTTTATCTTAAAAAAAGGGATCGAGGTTCATTTTTTCTATCTCCTCCTGTCCACGGACTAGTCATTGTAAAGAAGAAATATTTTTACACTCGGATTGACCAGTATATCCGGCATGTTGCAGATGCTGAGTTGGTCAGTTTGCAGAATGTCCAGATATATTCAAAAAACAAAGAAGTAAATCGTTTTATTTAAAATGTTTTAAATTATCCAAAAATGCTTATTTTTAACCAATAGGTTGCTTATAGTAAAAGTCAATTAAGTCATACATATTGATAATTTACAAATGATCTCCCGAAAATTTAATTACTAACCGCCACTGGCTAAAACCTTCTTGAAGAAACCCATCGATTTATCAAACATTCTGTATATGAAAAAACCTAAATCAGTATAGATTATTTTAGATATCACTAAAAACTGAAAATCTTTTGGATGTGGAAAAGTATATTCCTAAAAATGTATTTATATGAAAAAATGTACTTAATATAACGTGTTTTATTCAAGGACAGAGTCCTGCTAATATAAACTGATTCATCCTATATGGAAATTATTTAAAAAGTGCTTAAATTTAGTCTGATTTTTTCGCAATAATATTAAAACATTCTGTATATGGCAAACAAAATTCACTTGATTGGTAAATGATTCAGCTCAAAAAGTTGACTTTGGAGCGATCATCGAACGCTCGAAAAATTGAATCTTTTTGGAATCGAACAGCTGCTTCATTCGACAGGGGAGTAGTTTCAATAGTATAAGTTTCAACTTTGGCTAGTTGAATCAACCCAAAACTTCCTCTCAAGTTTACTCAACTGTGATAGTGTACAACAACTTAGGTTAAAGATATATCGTTACTTTGATTGTAAAATATTTATAATTTATCAAAAATGCAGCATGCATGTCACATATTGCCCTCGAAATGGTATGCAGTGTACGGGAACAGCTTATTCATAGAATATAGTAAATGAAAACCAACTATAAATTAGTTACATGTAGAAATAAATCCAATATGGACTAAAAATGAGTCGTTCCAATCTAACAATACACTTACAAACATTATTTACATACATGTATAAATATATACTTTCGATAATTTTCAGGTTTGTAGACCCTGCTCAGGAAGACAGAATCCGACATCCTCTTGGAAGTATTGATAACCAGACACGAATATATGAAAGGTTTGTGAACAAATATATATTATTTAACAACAGCGCTTTTAGATTGGTTGTTCTCTGCTTTTTAATTAACTACTTTCGATGTTATCATTCCTTAGGGTTGCGTTTTCCTGTTTAATTAATAGCTGCAGTTGTGCATACGTCAAAGTTCCAACTGTATTTAAATGTACATTATCGTGTAAAGACTTGTTGCTGCATATTTCCACTAAGAAAGTAGAGTAAAACTTTTACTAATTATAACACCTTATGTAAAGTTAATTATTTGTAGATGGAAAACAACTGATCTTTGGAACAGAGTTGATTTGTGCATTATTACCCCAATATAGAGACAAAAACCGCTAGACCTTTTCACCGTTAAACCCCATGTATTTAAAGACTGCATTTCATTTTTTTGCACATGATTGATTAGCCACTCGCAGGTTTATTTTCGTTGCATTCGCTTTGCTCATAAACCGCTTTATAGTGACATGCAGATTATAAAGCAAATATTTAATTATAATTATAAAAATGTTTGTTTCATTATTACAATGCATTAATTCATTGTGGGTTAATTATGTTTATTTCCTATTTCATTGATTTTGATAGATAGATACTTTAGATATTTTAAGTTAATACTGCAATTTAAAAAACAAGGAAGCCCCATTTTTAAAGAAAAAAGTAAATGTATAGAGATTTAATATATATTATATTATATATAAAACATGAATACAAGTGTTTTTGGCACTGATTTTGTTAAAATTACTATTAGCGTGAGCTCAACAAAATACATGCAAAATCTGCCAAACCGAAACGTTCCTTTGCGTACTTATTTACTTTGTAATAGGTATAGATTGATATCCTACTTTTCTATTTCCATGGTGCAAACCACGTTTATGTTTTAATTAAAATGCACTGTTTGAAAAGAAATGCAATTAGGAACACCTATCACACCTACATTAGGTTCACCGTCCGTTCGTATGCCCTGACATTTAACAAAGCAATTTCCATATGGAAATACCACACAATGTAGACAATTAGAAATTAATGTGAAAAATCACAATGTAGTAGTAGATCGATTATTTCTATTTACTCCGAAAACAGCCGCATGTACAGAAGCAGTATTCGAACATCCGAAAGAATCAAATGTCTAAGAATATTAACTAGAGTCCAAAATGTTAAAACGAGAAGTGGAATGAACTTCAAAGTTACACTAATACCACATATATATAATTTTTTATACCCCACATGCATTATACTAAAACGATTGCACAATTTATATTTATTTTATAAACCGAGTAACTCAACATTTATTTCACCATTATTTACATATTTTTGTTTTATTTTGCATATTGTTTTTGCTTATTTAGCCGATCACCTCGCGCTCTCAGTCCAACACAAGGCACAGGTTCTAGAGAAAACATAGAGACCACTTTTGATATAGATGGCAATGTGGAGACAGTGTCCACTCATAGTGGCGCTAGGGAGGACAATCGATCTTTAGGATCTGATAGTCGATCCGAGAATAGGTATTTTCAATTAATTGATTTTTTTTTTAAATATTTATGACAGATTTTAGATATACACAAAATATTTGTTTTGCGTGGCATTAACTGACGCTAAATATAATAGGTTTTCAATTAGAGCTTAATTATCTAGAATTAAACTGATTTTAACCGGAATCGAAAACAAACTATTTAGTTTTGAGCCAAGTTAAAATACACCAACATCAATCGACATACATGTTTTACTCATTATCTGCACCTATTGATTAAAATCCGTTGTTATTTTGTTGCTTCATTACTTTGGCCATTCTAGCTAATACATAATATATGATATAAGTACATATACTGGGTCACATTCCGTGTGTAAGTTAATTATTGTTATTCAGACTAAGTGGAATGGAGCGATACGCAAGAGGTCAAGACCCAATTTTGCCAGCCGTCTTAGAATTCCCCGAAGATCCACAAGAACAATTTTTGGCCAGAGTGATAACTCACTTAGATGTAACAACGCCTACTTTTAGACTGGCACCCGCATATACTTTGTATTTATGTGCTAGGTAGGTGTATAGATACTTTAATATTGTAATTATACACATAGTTTCAATAATTTATTCAACTTGGAGCAATATTTCAGCCGACTAGTGTGTATCAAATATAAATGGGACTTACTTTTTTAAGTTGTTGCCTTATTTTACAATCTTTACAAAAACACTATTTTTCTGCATAATCACGCGTCCTATAAATATATTTTTTCTAGCGAATTGGGAATTTTTTAACCTTGTCGTCGTACAAATTTTTCGGACTTTCGGTTAGCCAATGGAACTCGAAACTACTACAAGCCAAGGGTTCAAAAGGATGAAAGTCACAAGGTGACAAGTCTGGACTGTAGGGATGATGTTCTAACCTTTTCCAGCCAAATGAACCAAAGAGAAATTAAACAAATTCCACAAATATGTTTAATTTCTCCTTCATGCCGTTTGTTGGTTGAATGATGGCTGGCGTTTCCTTGAAGAAGAATGAGATTTTTGACTGATTTTTTGCGTTTTTATTAACGGTAAAAAAGCCGTTTTCATAAAATTTTCGACAGACTACCGAGCTTTCTTCGGCGCCCGTTCGCTTTTTCTTTATTCCATATTCCGCAATCTAGTGAGCACTTCCGTAGCTAATTGTAGTTGAGTTTATGGCGATTTCAAGCGGTTTATTCGCCTATCGTTCGCCATGAAATCAGATCACCTCAATGCGTCAGTCAGGCTCGTTCTTGAACGCCGATCTGGCTTTAATTATCCAATTTTTCAAGCTCTGGACATTTCCTTGCGCTATGCAAACAAACAAGTTTACTTATAACGAAATACTTATTTGATGCTTTTTCGCTCATGATCTTTTTAATGCTAAGCGGATCTGGAATAATTAAAGTCGTTGCTGCGCCCTCCCTAATTGCTCAGACTATCTAAAATGCTACTTTGACCCGCCTGGAAAAACAAATCCAATTCACCCTTTTATATTTGTTAGACACTTGTAGCTGAAAAGTAACGAGTATTTTCTTACTCACTCATAATTATAATATAATGCGAATTTCAGATACCGAGCATCGACTCATTATAGACCAGAACTGACACCTACAGAGCGAGCCCATAAATTAACATTAGTCCTGCAGCATGCTGCTATGTTAATTCGACACACTGTCCAGGACAGAAGTACTGAGAGCACGTCGCAGGCATTTTGGTTGGCCAACGCCAGCGAATTGCTACATTTTCTAAAAAGCGACCGGCATGTCAACCCGTTTTCCTTGCAAGCTCAGGACACGTTGGCTGATGCAGTTCAGTTGGCTTTTAAGGTAATATTTTATTGAAATTACCCAAAATATGGCATTTTTTGTGTATCAGAAGTTTTACTGTAAAGCATTTTATTCCCGGAAGTTTGTCAGATTTATTTTCGATAGCTATCTCCCGAAAATGACTCATACTTCTGTTGGGTATCCAACTTAGGGTCTCTTCATAAACGTTCAAAAGTGCCGGAACAGGAACAAGCATGGGAGCTCAAAGTTGAAGTGCAAAATTGATAACGCTAACGCATTTACTATTGAGAAACAGATTTTGAAACTAAAAATAAAAAATTACCTTCATTTCAAAAAGTATCAATGTAACACGGAATAGGCCTGGGTAACTGAGTTGTAACTAACTGAGGTAACTAATGAGGGTAAGTGAGTTTTCCCAACCAACGCCAACCCAACGCACCGGCACAGTAACTCATTTCCGTTGCTGGAAAAATGTTAATGACTTGTTTTACTTGTTTTTAGAATTCTGAAATTCATCAAAATTTACGAATTTTCAGTTTTAGCCGAGTTACTAAATCCAATCAAAGGGGATGTATGATCGCACACTATCGACTCACTATAATACAAGTTTGCATCCCCTTTGATTGGATTTTCTTCAGTGTGTACACACCCGCTTCCTTCTTTTTTTCTAAATGCTCAATTTTCTAAAGTTTTACTTAAAAATACTGCCAACTTAACGTATTTTCTGTGAAAAATTTTGAAAAAAAATTCGAATCCTTGTTCGCTTTGTAAAAAGTTTTCAAATACCTTTCCAGCGTCGAATTTGAAACAAAAATCAAATCATTTTCTATCAAAAAATGAATAGAATAATCGAAAGTTTATAACAGATTATTTGGAAATCTCGTCAACTCAATTCCTCTGAAKACTGTAGAGTTTGTTAAAAACTTTTTAGGTCTAAGGGCTTTTTAGGTCTAACTGAATTTTTTTTGCTTTAATTTCTACTCAAAAACGCTCTATTTTGTAGAGTTTTACTTAAAAATACTGACGATCTTTTACGAGGTCTTTTGTCTTACGCGAAAAATTACAAGATTTATAGTTTTGTAAAAAATTTACGAAACCTTTGAAAAACACAAAAGTATTTTTTATAATTTCCTTTTCTGACAATAATGGGGGTCTTTTCAGCCRAAATGACAAAATTAATTTTGARAATTCCCCTCATTCATCGGTTTGCAGGAAACTTTAGAAAATCCTTTTCAGCTTCGAATTTGGCACAAACACCAAATAATTTTATTCAGTTTTTATCAAAATCAATTAGGATTATCTTGAAAAAAACGTCCAGCAAGCAAAAGTTAACAAAAAATAATTTGGAAAATTCGGAAAAAGTTTTTATTAATCAATTCTTTCTACGCAAAAATTGCATTATTATTTTATTTAGTTAAAATACTGACAATCTTCAGATATTTTCTGTAAAAAATGATAAGATAGATTTTATTGAAACACTGACCTCCTAACCGATTTGCAAAAATTTTTGGAAAATTTTTTGCAGCTTTGGAGTACGGGTAATAATTATTTCTAGGTCTTTTTCCAAAAATATTCCCCGAACTGACAAAGCGGAAGTTAATAATCATTTATTTGAAAACTGGGGTTTCTTCACTTTTATGTCAATATTTCTAAACAATACTGTCTCTAAAGAGAAAACCCGCGTTTTTTCTAACGTTTTACTGTAAAATACTGACAAACTGAATCTTTTATGCAAAAAAAATTAAGAGGTCGATTTTACACAAAAATTCGTCGACTTTCTTTCGGTTGAGTTCTGTTGCTGAGAAAATCTAGACTTTTTTTAGTTGTTTGATCAAAGTAGTAAAACGTTGCTCAGAAAAGGTGTTAACGACCTTTTTCTTAGATATGAAAATTTCAGTCTCGGATCTCGTAAAGCTTTAATAAATGACTTATGAACCGATGAGTTATAACTCGTTAACTCAGAGAGAGGCATCAACTCAATAGCGCAACTCAACACAGTGTTACCCAGGCCTAACACGGAAGTTACAAAAAAGCTTATAGTGTCGGTATAACATATACAATTCGAGTCGGTATAACGATACAAGTAATATTTTGCAGACAATGTTAGAAAAACTTTTAAATGCCTATTGAAATAAAACATTTCAAAAAAAGTTCTACAACGAATAATTAAATTATTCAAGGGTATATGGTGTAATTTAACCCTTGAATATCAAATATGGCCCAGCGCTTTCAACATTTACATCATCATCAGGGCCGCTGGAAAACACAAAAGAGTAACAATTGCGTCATGCAAATTAATAGAATAAAAGGATAGAAACGTACTCGTCAAGACATAAGCGTTCATCCCCAAGAGTGAAGAATAGAGTATGCCAACCAATGGGGAGGCCGCCAAGGAATTAAAATCGCAACACAGAGAACAAACTAACATTAAAAGGAACCAACAATTAAAAATTATTTATAAAACATTGAAAACCATGGACTGGTAGTAATATAGTCAGGCGACCACTCCAACACTGAGCGAATGTTCTAGGGTTAAGATTCAAAAAACAAACCAATCTATCCTAGATGGAAGAAAGGGTTATTGTAGATTCTTCCCTATCATGTAAAATGTTGATGGCATTCTTGCAATTTGGAAACGAAAAATTGTACAAGCCAAAAAACAAATTCTGAATCCAACAACTGAAAAACTAATTAACAAGCAGTCCCACACCCAACACGACAAATATTGTGGAGAACAATCACCACATTGATTAAAATTAAGTTGGCATTGATATGAGAACACTTCATTTAATTTTCAGTTCAATCAATCATTTACTTGACTTTCTGCTGAGTTCTCGTCAAATGTATATCCAAACAAATTGATGCCTATTTAGTTATTGCATTTTACTGCGTCGAAGAGTAACAGTTGAAACTGAGAAGGCACTTCCAACGTATCTTATTTTTATTATAAAATTGAACAGCGTAATAAAATGGAAGATTTTATTGAAATAAATGAATATTTGTTTAAAATTCTGTCCCCAGCTTTGAGCATGGTAATTTAAAAGTTAAGGAAAAGAGCTAGTGGTAGGTTATTTGAAATTCCATTCCAAATAACAAAAGTTGCTATGGACTTTTAATATAATTGAAAATCCTGGAAAAGTTTAGAATACTTTAGTCTGAATGCAGATTACCCCCTTAAATTACTGGGAGCCGAAATTTGAAATTAAACTTCCGTTTAGTTTTGGATGCGCGCCAAACAGGACAATTCCTATAAAATACTTTATGAACGAATGAGACGTTTATTTCCATAAAGTTGTCATCGATTAAGAGATTACATACCATTACGTTTAATTATACATACATACCATTAATTATACCATTTTATTAAGTAAATGATTACTGATCGTATATTACAAATATTGTGTTTTATCTGCTTTAATACCATAAGACTTCAAATGGACTTTTTCATGAATTCTAAATACAGTTTTATTGCAGTATTCTTACGAATATTACTTTCATTTTTCTCTTTTTGATCGGTTGACATTATTTTTTGCGTTTAATTTTGGTATTGTAAAAAATGCACACAAATAATGGTTGCTAATCATATATTTTTTTCCAGAATTTAGTTGCTTGTTTAACTGACGAACTAAATTCAGGAATGGCGTACCTAATGTCGGTGACAGGAGATGACCATCCAAGGGAAGTAATCAACATTCTTAGTGGAGCCATGAATTTATTAAGAAAGTGCAGAGTAAACGCTGCTTTAACTATCCAGGTAATAAAAGTTGGATTTAAGATATGGGCCCGTTTAGGTCAATTCGCCGCTACCTCATTCAAATGTGCAGTTCTATTTTTGATTGAATTATAGACTATACTCTATAAGTGTCTATACAATTATTAATTAAGGAATTATTTTATGCTGCTTTAAACATTCTAAGTTTACAAACCAAGAATTACAAACATTATAATGTTACATTGTATTATTGTATGTTACAATTAACTAATAATCTTGAATCATGTTATATCAAATGTGTATTATTTCAGTTATTCTCCCAACTATTCCACTGGATCTCGGCCAAGGCTTTGACGAACGTAATTTCGAATAGCAATCTATGCACTAGAAATTTTGGAAACAAACTGGCTAACCGTCTACGAAACCTTCAAGCCTGGGCAGAATCTCAAGGCCTGGAGTTAGCTGCTGAGTGCCATCTAGCTAAGATTGTTCAGTGCGCTCATCTTTTGCAAGCGAACAAATACACTCCCGAAGATTTGGCTAATCTGAGTGCTGCCTGTTTTAAATTGAACTCCATGCAACTCGGAGCTTTACTTATGCAATACAAAGGTAACAAGATTTTCCAATGAATGAAAATTTTAAGCAGATGTTTTTTTACGTAGAGACATATTTAGAGATCATACACAAAACTTAAATAAGTCGCTTATTCACATCCAATAAATAATACAAGTGAAATGTTACTGTCGTTTGTAAAAAGTGCGAATACATATCTATATCTAGTTGCATTCTCGTTTAAGCTCTCTCTCTGGAAAAAGTGAAATGCGTGCTATTTTTCAATTTAACTTCAACGACTCCGCAAAATCCGCCATTTAAAACATACATTTTTGCCTAGATAGTAGCATTGACAACAAATATTGCGAAACATTTATTATTCGACGCCGTAATCGACTTCGGGTTATAAGTACAGAGGGTCCGAAAATTATTCATTATATACTCGGTTCATCATAGTGTTTTTGAAAAGTATCCTTAAAAAATGACTTAAACAGTCGCCGTTAAAATATTAGAAAGCAAACCCGTGTACATTTCAAATTAAACCATAAGAAACGTAAGTATACACATTGGCAAACAATCTAAGCACAATTAAGTGCCAAACATAATTCCTGAAATTGGAGTTTGCATATTAAAAATGTCCGTCCTCAAAAATTTTAATATCTCAAATTGTATCTATATGTTTTGCCTATAAAATAATTTTAACAGCACTGTTATTGAAGGCTAAATATTTACGAACCCATATTTATATGAATCAAAATACAATATTTAATCGTGCAGTTAAAGATCTAGCAGTCATTTTAGCTATCCTTGTATAAAATAGTGTACTTACTCACGTGCAAATCTGATACCGTTATTTCTTATTGTGTCTAGGTGGATTTAAATGCATATATGTGTCTTCGAGTTGCTAACGAAGACCATTAAATAACGTAAAGTTTTATAGGTCACTGGGTGGTGTCCCAATTCGAGTGAAATAAGTTTTACAGATTAATTCTAATTAAACACCGTTCACAAAAATAACGTAGCTTTAATAAAAAACTAACAAATCAAGCACACTGTTAAATGATCTTATTCAAGGAGACGGAAATATGACATGGTTTGCGTGGTGAAACTAGAAAAGTATTGACCAACTTAAATTATGTTTTGATATAAAATCAACTTTATTTCATATTTTTTCGCATTTTGTATCAGGCTGTTTTATTGTTTGAGTCCAGGAGCATTCTGAAAGTTGACTGTTGGCAGCTAAGTTATCATCGTCATCAGTGATATTGAAATACATTTTCATCACGTATTTCCAGCTGAACCTGGTGAAAAAATCGCTTCTCCATCTCTTGTGGAACAAGCTGCCAAAGCTGCAGAGAGTGTGGCGGATGAACTGGCGCGCGCTGAGGGTCGCGAGGTTACTTTATATGAAGATCCTGCTCCTCCTTTGCAACTTCTTTTACCTGATGATGGATTTAGCTGTGATGTTGTGCAAGGGGTCCCACCAGGTATGATTTATTTATATTTATCTATTATACAGAGCAGCGCTAGCGCTACCATTACATTATGGTAATCAAGGCAGCCAGATGTTGAACATGATTCTAATCGTAGAAATCAAACCATGATTCTTTGAAGATAGTCAACTTTTTATTTTGGCTTTTACTTGCCTTCAATGTGCGTAATGAGAACGAAAATGTTTGTTCTCGAAAACTAAACGATAATCGAGAGATCAAGCATAAAACGCATAAAATGTTGCAAAATCAAATTGCATTTTAATAAATTATCCCTTAATTAATATTTGCTTGTTCTTTATCTCACTGTGTGCGTTTTGTTTAAAGGCCTGGCTGATTTTCTGCATCCGCTGAAAGCTGCAGGACTTTGCAGATTAGCCGCGCAACCAACGAGTTCTGGCCATTGGACGGTTTACATGAAAGCTCCAAGACCTCCCAGTGCTCTAAGTACTACTCAACCTGAGGTTAGTATGCTTTATGTTTCTCAATCTGATTACTAGAGTTCTTGTGGATCGAGGCTAAAATTGCATTCTACTACTTTAGGTTCAAGTTATTCGCCTTCACAAAGCTGGAGGTGGGATGGGTCTATCTATAGTGGCTGCAAAAGGAGCTGGCCAAGAGCGTTTAGGGATCTATATTAAATCGGTAGTACCAGGAGGTGCTGCTGATCGAGATGGCCGACTGGCGGCAGGTGATCAACTTGTATCAGTAGATGGTCAATCTCTCTTGGGAATAACCCAAGAAAAAGCTGCAGAATTCCTAGTTAGAACGGGCAGCGTTGTAACGTTGGAAGTGGCGAAAGGGGGCGCAGTTTATCACGGTTTGGCCACATTACTTCAACAACCTAGTCCTACGCCACACAGAGGTGAGTTGTTTTAAACCTATTTTACGTTCCCAGTCAATATTTCAACCCAAGCCATTAAAGTGCGATTTAAAATGTTGAGGTAATGTGCTATGTCTGTGCCATCTCGTAAAAATGAGAAAGACAGTTATAATCTCAATCACGCTATACATGACTTACAAGCTCTGAAAGTATTAATTATTTTTATGATAAATAGATTATTACAAATATAAAAATGCGCCGTATTTCAGAATAGAAGAAGAATAACACACTCAGCAAATATAAAAGTTCACATAAACAAAGCTCCATAAGGGCTTTGTCACAGGTACAGGGAGTTTTACATTACATACGCATTTCAACTCTTGGGAGTTTCATTGGACATTTTGAAATTTATGACGGAATTAATTAAGTGTTTTAACAAAAACCGCCCACATTCTGGGTGCTCCCCTGAAAATTCTAGATCACATCTAATATATCCATCAAATCCTTGATAATTTGTGTGGAGCTTTTGAGCTAAACACTTCTGAGGATACAAGCCACTTGTGCGTGTGAAACGTCAGAAAAAAACTGTTTGTCTCGGAAACTTAACACTTATGGATCCATTTTTATTTGAAGTGTTATATTTTGACGAGCGCAATTTTTTTTAAGCGCCATATCAACTTCAACTCTGAAACACTGTGTATCATTCATTAATTGATCAGCAAAATTATATAAAAAGCTCATTTATTTTTGTCCATTGCCATTAACTCATATTAACAAGTCTAACATAATAAAATATATGTTGTAAGATATTGTTTGTAAAAAACACCAATGTTACATAAAAGTCTCTGCACACTATCATATACGTATCGTTTCCGGCACGTAGCGTTTCACACACAACGGACTGCGGTTCACATTTTCCTACATTGAACGTTTCAGTTTCGTCCGGTAAAAATTGTGTGCAATTGCTCTTCTACTTGAGGATAAAGAAACAAGCAATTCTGCAATAAAAAGAAGATTTGCAGTATATTCAATGATGAAATAAAGGAAAAAGGAAGGCGAATAATAGACTTTATACAAATAATTAATTGATGATGAAAACTATTATGGCTATTTTATAATGAATAGGATTCAGTACGAGTTCAATTGATTTTTCTAAATCTATTTCAAATTTTACGATATAAAGATAAAATAAGTTTGTCAAACGGCGACTGGAAAACTACTAATTTGATCTGATACTTTATTCACATACCTTTCGACTCGTTCCGTACCGGCCGGCATCCGGCAAATATTGTGTCCGAAAATACTGAACAGAAACGTACGGTGCCTGATACGATCATAACTTTTATATAAAAGTATATGGATACGATACGTTCCCGATAGTGTGCATTGTTCATATTTACTATGATTAAATAATATTTTTTGGAAACTAAACGCTACGTGCCGGAAACAACATGTGCATGATAGTGTGCGGAGACCTTAAAAGTTAAATATTGTGCATAATAAAGCACATTACTCTTGAGAGCCAAGCTCATTAAATTAATCCTTTTCTGCTGAAATTATATATGTAATTTCTGTACGATATTTTATTTATTTGATTATGAAATAAACATTTGTTTTGATTAGCGAGATAGTACTAGGAGTTCCTGAATATAATGGATAGTGTATACTTTCTTGGGTAACTTTATGTCTTAGAATCTTTTATATGTTAATAATATAATATATGTTAATTTTTTCGAAAGAAAAAAATTAGAATTACAGCATTAACTTTGAACAAAGCCTTATAAACTTGTAATTCATTCTTTTTTAACATTGTCATCAAACCAACTTGAAACCTTTGAGCCGTAAATTTAGCCAAGAAATTACAGTCCTTTAAACACATTTAGAAACACTGTACATTTACATTATCTAAATATCCATTTGTATTTCTAAATTTTATTGAAAATGTGGTATTGCTAGATTTAACATTCCCTAACGCTAGCGTTTTTCTTACATGCAGCCTGTAATCAGGATCAAGCTTATTCCGACCAATACTACTACTACAATCATAAAAGTCCTGTGGGATCAAACGAGTCGTTATACTCAAACTCCAGTAATACGCTCTTCACTCCGCCTGTTCTTAAATCGAAAAACAACGTATTTTTCAGTTCGGACGACAGTCTTTTCAAAACGGAAAAACGAAAATTCGTGATTCCTCGAATAGAAATTCAAAGTGACGAGCCGGTGTTTAGCCTGCAAGTAACGGATTTCAGCGATCCTGCACCCAAGAACGTAACTTTAACCTATGACGAATCGGGACAGTCTATGAAATTGCAGAAAGTTGAAGAGTACATTAAACCCAAAACCAAAGCGCAGGAATTTGCTCAGAATAAAAGCTATTCGATAGATGTTAATAACAGTAACGTGGATATAAGTTCAATATCAGAAATCGATAAGTTTCTGAGCATTGGCACCAAGAAACTATCTCGCCAGAAGGCCACTTCTACATCTTTAATAGATCTATCCAGTTCTACTTCATCAATTAACAGCTGCATATACGAATCTAACTTGGATCTCAGTCAACTAGATCCAGATACTCCTTTAAAGCATTGGAAAAGTCCATTTGAGATGCGACATGCAAAAAACTTGGAAAGAGACAATAAGGCAACGAGTGATCCGTCGCTGAACAAAAAGAAATTCATTGTTAGCAGTAGGAGCAAAAGTGTGAGTGAAGAAAACTTAAATGATAAACTGACTGAATATGAGCGATTGGAAATTTTGAAATTGTTGCACGATTGGAGTTTAAACGGTTCCGACTCGAAAAGCGAATTCAATATGAATTTAAATAAATCAAAAAGTACGGATAATATTGATAGTATCACAAGGGATGACGAAAACGTCGCTTCTTTCGGCAAGTTCGGTGAGAAGTTTTTGTCAGAGCCAGATCTATCGCCGAAAAGTCGCCAATGTGGACGGCAAATTCGAGAAAAGCCTATTATTCTCGGAAAATATAGTTCAGAATCTAGACTATCAACTACATCACTAGAGGATGACTTTTTGCACAAATGCAAATATAGGAATTGTATTTTTAATATTGATTTTATTCCGAAATTTGGGACCATTACGTCAAGCACTCAAGACTTAGCTGCTTCACGTGCAAACAGCCCTCAGAAGCTTAAGGGCATTTTGAAAAATAGTAGAGAGAAATTAGACGATGCTCATAAATCCTCATCTTATAATGGTACAAAAACGTCTAGCGACTCGCTGAAGGAAAATGCTGATAACGACTGCTGGCGGAACATCAACAATTTACGCATGAATGAACAACTTAAATCTACTTTCACCTCTAGAAGAAACAGTGAAACTATACAACCAAACAACGCTGTGAACAGCGACTTAACGAGGTGCGACAGTCTGGAAAGGTTAACGCAAATGCGCAAACCAAAGAAATTTCCCGACTCCTACATAGTAACGAGGAGAGGCAGTTTTCGAAGTCAACGACTAAAGAATAGTGAAAGCGGCAGACCGAAAAGTCCAAAGATTATTGTGTTAAGGAAAAAATACATGCCCAAAACTTGGAAAAGTTGCTCAGATATAAAACCAAGGAAGCAAGTGAAGAAATGCTGCAAGTATGCTAAAAAGAGCTGTCCAGTTTTACGAAATTCTTCGGATTCACCCAAAACAAACCGGAAAACGAAAAGTTGTGCTTGCATCAGTGAAGAAAACATTCTAGAAAGCGTTTCTGAAGGACAAATTTCTTTTGCAAATGGGCTTAATGATGCTTCACAGGTAGTTCTAAAGCCATGTACAAGGGTCTGTTTTGCTCAAGTTCATGACGAAATTGCGAATAGTTTTCAAGACAGCTTTAGTTCACAATGCGATGGCTTCGAATCAGAATCAGATGACATTGCAAGAGCCGAAATAGTTCCTATGCCTCGACAACGGCCAGGTTTCGCCAAACAGTATTCCTTAGGTAATTCCCCAAAAAGTAGGAAATGGCTGGGTAACAAAACGCCATTTAAAACATTAAACAGGCAGAATACTATGCCCGAACAATCGAGATGTTGTTCAAATCTTCATATAACGGAAGAAAACGACAACGATCCATTTTTCATCAAGAGCCGCGATGGTATTTGCTTTGGCGGTCAGCAGCAGCACGCTTCTGCTAGGTTAGCAGCCGGTTTTTTCCCCGCCTCTGGCTCTGCTTGTCTTGTTCATCGTAAGCTTACGATACAGTTTGGCGCACTTCAGTTTTTTTTTTATTAGCTGCAGTATACAAACTTTTCCGCTTTATAGTATTCACTATATATTTTTTTTAATTCGCCAATTTATAAATAGTTGCCTTGTTTAGAATCTCTCTTATGCTTATGTTGTAGTTTTAATTGTTAGATTTTTGTTGATTCAGCACATCTTAATAATTTATTTTTATTTGTAGAATAATGTCTGTAACAAATGATTGAGTATTCATAACGCATTTATACCTAATACTTTTCCCGTATTTATTGGGCGAGTTATCTGTATAGAAAATGTAGATAATTAGATCTATTTTCTGTGTATGAATATTCTTATGACTGGTGGTAACTATAAACAAATTGAATCAGAATCTCTTCTATATTCACCTTTGTGTTATCCACCAGGTATAATCTGATCTAGAATCCGAATAATGGACAAAATTATCGAATCGATCACATATTGCTGAATGCTCAATCAGAATTTGACGAATTGAATTTAAACTAAACTTGTACATTTTAGGCCCCAGGCGAATGTCTGAACGTGACTTGCCTACTCGAGTTGACTCTGAGCGCACTATTCCCTCATCCAAATCCGTTCCTGCATTGCACCAGATTCATTCGACCACACAGGAGCAACAAAGGGCCTCTGGTAGTCAACCAAATAATTTCTTAGCTGATGGGTAAGCAGTTCATTTGATTTTCTCTATTGATCAGTGTTCTGTTTCCAACTTTCTATCATTGTGTAAGTGATATTTGTTATCCACATATATTTTCTATTTAGGTATAGTAGAACATCTTCGAATAATAGTATAAACACTAACAACCCGCCCACTGGACTTTCAAACGGCCCGATCGGTCCAACAGCCGTACGAAGTCGCTCCACTCACAATTTGAACCAACAGGATGGAGGATTTTATCAGAATCTTAGTGTTTATAGGAATAAAGAGCCCAGTCCTCAGCAACTAGGTGACAGGTAGGATTTCTGGATGCTGACTTACGTAAAATATATGTGTAAATCGGGGTAATTTTTCAGGACTTCTGCCCTTCGTTCCTCCCAGAATTCGTTACAATCATCTATAACGTCCCCTCCGAATTCCCAGCGCCCTTCTTCGGCATACTATCCCACCAATCAAGCGCAGCCCAACTTTAATCGCCCTAATCTCCACCAATCGATACCAAATTTGAAAAGTCCACCTTCCATGCAGCGACTGCAACAAGAAGATAACGGCCGACTCAGTGGCAGTTATCCCAATGTTGGCGGCCCAGGACAACAACAATATTATGGAGTAAGTGGATTAGAATTCCTTATTGATATCTGCTATCTATCACGTCGATTTTCTCTAAACAAATTTGTTTTTTATTAGCACCAACTACCTCAATCACAACAACAGCAGCCTTATATTCGACAACCGGCTCAACCAGCTTATCCAGGCGCTGTCGATGACCCACTAAATCGACAGCAATATAACTCGTCATATGCGAACTCAAGCCAGCCATATCCATCGCCAACGCACAGCAACAGCACAAACTATTCAGCCATGAATAATGGAACTAACAACTATTCTCAAGCAAATAGTGCACAACAACATGCCATGTACAATTCGAGCTTGAACAGTGCTGGTCCTAGCAACGGGCAGAAATTTGAAGAAAGGGTGGATCCCCGGATTGACCAAAGAGGTAAATATAGCAGAAATAGAGCAAAATTCAATATTTCAGTCTTCAAGGCAATGAAATTCTTGTTCAAAAATTTACTCTCCAGGTACAGTATGCACAAAATAGGCTTAGTACTTCAGATAATTAATAATTTCTCTGACTTTACTTTGGACTTATCGACATCTTAAAAATGCACAATCCGCTTCTTTCTTTTCCGGAAAATCGCTTGACACCTAAATAATCATTTTTAATTATAGCACGAGACCAATTGTTGTTAAAATATGTACCTACAGTTGTAATTAATAAATTACATAAGAAATAACAAAAAGTAAAATAAAAAAATTACATAAGTCATATTTAAAAAGACAATCATAAATGACTTAATTTTGTGATAAATATGCTACCGATATCCAATATTTCTGTAATTCTCTGCATTACATTCTGTAARCTCTATKTGATTTCTAACAATAAAATTAATTCGACACTCGTTTGAATTTATCYACTTCRTTGGTCAGCGATTTTTTTTAACAAAAAGTTACTCTAAAGGCTKTTCAATAGATATTACCGATTAAGATACAGATAGTTACAAAWTAGTCTAAGTAMTTCATATTATCAAATCTTCTCTGGCTTCACTTTGGGCTCTGCGGCCTCTTAAAAAAGATCTTCCAAAAGTATTTATTTGAAAAACGCATCTTTTTTTTGTCGGAAAATCGGTTGAGCACGACAATTTCCATTTKTAAGTATGCATTTTTTAAACAACAATGTYATTTTTTTTTGCTGAGCCCATCCTGTTTTATGTAAGAGGAARGAAAGTTTCTTCAGTTCTTGTATAATAGAACTTTCACCTATATTTACAATTTCTTAAGAAACTAAAATAAGGTTTTYGTATTKWAAAAAAGTTTACTATTATGCCWTAATAATTCTTCGCTACCCTGTATAAACTGAAAATTGCTACTCAATGTACATTTTTATCAAAACTCTATTTATRAAAGTGCCATATTCCGAAATCACTTTTTCACTTTATTGWAAAAACTGAAAAAACATCTTTAATTACTCGAAACCATATG